CTCCAGGGACCGCCTGCATCAGTGCGCTTTCACGCCTTCTGGCTAGAAAAGTATTTTATCTAAAAATGCCAATTCAAAATGTCCATTTTCCAAAGACCAACTGAACGACTACTTCCCCCTGCAAGGTCTTCAAAGAAATGTTTTCTCAACCCCCCTGTAACCAGATTCTGTCCTCTATGGACCTGACCTGTCTGTACCAATTGTTATAGTTATAGTTTTATTTTTAATTCCCTAAAGGGAAGACACACAAAAGACAAGGAACACGTGTATCTCACTTATCTTTGTATTCCCCCATAAAGTCTTAAGCTAGCGTGCATGTATACTGCCGAATCGGCCTCACGTGTTCAACTTCCCCTGTCCCAGGCTCACACACCACAGGATGCTTCTCCATGATTAAAAAATTAATATTTCACAAAGAGAATTTAGCTGAGTAAGAAATAAAGGCCTAAGACATCTTGTCAAGTAAAATACGAATTCCTTGAGATACATGATCTGTCCAGAAAATGTCCCACCATTGTTAACATAACATGAATGGTTTGTGCAACACTGATGTAACCCGGCAGCCAAGGAGAGTGGACAGGAGTGCACATGCATGAACAGGGATGACTTCACTGTACCAGTCAGTGGGGACTGAAGACACCATGAGTGAGCATGTGTGCTGCGTGGTCACCAAATGAGGGAGTAGAGCAACAAATCTGCATCAAATTTGCTTTAAGACTGAACATTCCTCCTCATAACTACTCGGATGATTCAGAAGGCCACGCTGTGGGCAACTGGTGATTGGCAGCTTCATCACAACAATGCATCTGCTCATGCAGCTTTTTCAGCAAAACATCAAATCCCCCAGGTGACTCAGTCCCACTACAGCCCAGATTTGGTGACCTGTGACTTCTGGCATTTCCCAAAACCAGAATCACTTTGAAAGGGAAGAGATTTCAGACCATATCAATGAGATTCGGGAAAATACGATGGGGCAGCTGATAGCAACTGGGAGAACAGCCTGAAGTCCTAAGGTGCCTATTTAAAAGGGGACTTGGTGTCCCTGTCCTATGTATAATGTTTCTTGTATCTTTTATCTTCTGCAATAAATGTCTCTATTTTTGATAGTACAGGGCTGCATACCTTCTGGACAGATCTCGTATATTGCAGTTTTTATAAATATGCTCAGTGTGTTATGCTGAACAGACAACTTTAGAAAATAGCAAATTAAAGTCAAGAGTTTCCTATAGCAGATATTCTGGGATAATTCAATATGTGCATTTCCCATAAAAAATACAGACATTATACCATGTTCTCCTTTCTTGACAGCAACTCGCAGGATTCTTCCTCTGAGTTACATATTTGGAAAATGCTAGAATAAGTTATATCCTGTCTTTCATATCTGCATCTATTCAGATTTACTGAAATGCTTGAGCTTATTAGTTACAGCTAGAAAAGGGCAGAGGAAAAGATTTGCTTTTTATGCTCTAAACTCAGTATTTTAAAACAGATACCATTTACTAAGTTTTTCATCTGCTTGCCCTACTTGAAACACTTATCACAGACTCAAGAGCAACATTTTATCAAGTTTCTTCCATACAATTTTGTAAAGCATTAGTACCAGGCTATATCATAATTAGATCATTCAAATATTTAAATAAATTTCATACTTTAAGATCAACTGGAAATGTTTCAGTATTTCTTCAGTGCCATAACATTACACAATTATTTTTCTTACTAAATATTGGGTGGTTTTCACATACTGTTCATTAATTCGGAACTGTCATTTCCTTTTCAAAAACAAATACACACTTAATCATGCAAAATAAATCCAGATTATAATTTGATTATTTTAATGTCACTCATGACTGAGAAGAGTTTCAAACAATATTTGGAGAAGAATAACTGAGTGTGGCTCTGCTTTCAAACTGTGTTTTGATGACACACACAAGTGTGTCTGAGGAGGAAGCAGAATAATGGAAAGCATGCAGAAAGCCCACCGCCCCGGGCACGTACGCCAGTGTCATCAACGCGCCTGCAGGTTTTTGAACCAATATCGTGTTCAGAATCCAGTTTTACAAAAACCCTATAAATAAAACTAGCTGTGTTAGAAAAATTTCAAGAAAAAAAATCATGTCTAATGCCAGGGTTTTTTGACTACTTCATTCAACAACAAATATTAACAGCATCTGCCACGTGCCAGGCAACGTTCTAGCTACTGAGGATACTGCAGTAAACAAGAGCCAATTAGATGCTGTCCCCACGGAGCATGTATAAAATAGATCACAAAGTATAGAGCCCCACAGAGAAAACTGAACTAAGGGAGTTAATGAGGAGGTGAGGGAGGGGCCGCGATAATTTTTAATTTGGGGTTCAGGGCCTCAGTGCAAGGGAGACATTACAACAGAGGCTGCAGGGAGGCAGGGCACGAGCCCTGTCGCTACGGAAGAGCAATCCAAGCAGAAAGAACAAGTGCAAAGGTCCAGGAAGAGCGTTCCTGCTTCTTATTATTTCTGTATTTCAGACTAATAGAAAGTGGTTTTCCTATTTTGTGATCGGTCAGGTTATAATTATCTATTTGGGGCCCAGGGCAGATGGAGGAAGCTCATATAAGATTTTAGCCAACCATCTAATCTGTTTTGTGCCTCTACGGCCCACAGGCAAATCTGGCCCATCATCCATGTTTATAAAGTTTTATTGCAACAGCCTCCTTCATTGGCTTACATATTCTCTAGGCTGCTTTCATGCTACAACTGCTGAGTGACCAATGTCTCATATAGATCATATGGCTGTAAAGATTAAAATATGTATTATCTGACCATTTAGCAAAAAAAAAAAAAAAAAAAAAAAAAAAGGTTGCTAATGCCTTCTCTCAGAATTCAGAAGGTTATCTATATCAGTGCTACCTTCATCAAAAAGACATGTGATCATGAGTTAAACACAGCTCAGTAACCTCTGCATAAGGAAGGGGCAGGCACCACTTTGTCTAACTAATGAATGTCTTAAACACCCTCACAATGGCCTAGAGAGTCTAATTAGGAAAAGGAAAAATTCAAATTCTACTTCTTTTTTAAAATTTTTTAAAAGATTTTATTTATTTTATTTTTATTTATTTACTTTTAGACAGAGGGGAAAGGAGGGAAAAAGGGAGAGAAACATCAATGTGCGGTTGCCCCTTGTGCGCCCTCTCCTGGGGACCTGGCCTGCAACCCAGCCATGTGCCCTGACTGGGAATCAAACCCATGGTCCTTTGGTTCACCGGCTGTGGCTCAATCCACTGAGCCACCCCAGCCAGGGCCAAATTCTACTTCTGATCTAATAAATACATGCTTCTTGGCCAGTTATACATTATTTCTTTCCAGTCATAGCAATATAAACATGGAAAAGAATTTTTTTTTAAGTTCTTGGTGATATAACAAGCCCATGGTTTACCATCCTATGTCCATTCCTCGTGGTATGCAGGAGAAAAAATTTTAAGCCGGAAAGCTGAATTATTTCCCCAGAAATGGAAAAATATAAATCTAGAAAACTTGAGCATCTAACCTTAGGCAGGCTCAGAACAGAGAAGATGGAAAGTCAGAGTTCTGACGAAGAGGAACGGGAAAATGTTCTAACTGTCCCAGAGGTGGCCAACAATGGTGAAGCTTTCTCAGTGTGCCTGGGGCAAAATACACCCACCCTGGAAAGAGCAAGGTGCCACCAGAGATTACAGAGGAAACCACAGCTGCTGAGGGCTCTGAACCCAGAGTGTGCTAAATCTTCCAGCAATATTTTCAGGGAGCACTGATCTCCCTAAACACTGAAATTTTATAGGAAATGAAAGATCTGAGAATATTCTAGCTCACCATTTCATTCCACCAGTGTATGTACTTGAGTGCTGATTACACGTTTGCTCTTTCACTATGCATTTATCAATTAATACTGGTGACTGATGAAAAGCAGACACAGCTGACTACTTGATCATCCTAATGTAACCAGAAAGGAATGAAACAAAGTAAAGTAATTGATACTAGGAAGTACTGTGTATCTAATTTGCTAAAAGGACACAATCGTATGAAATATTAACCATATAATTAAAAGCCATAAAAGTGGTGGTGGCTTTTTGACTTCTAAGAAATGTAATTCCTATTCCCACTAGTCAACTGATACTTCTGCTAACTTTTTTGCTATAAGGTTTATTTTAGGTCAAACCAAGGCTTCCTGGAAATGATGCACATTTTGGGGAGAATAGGAGAGAAAACCAGCGCATTGTAGAGATCTACATTAAACCTCTACATGTTTAAATACATGAGAGGTTAATCCCAAAAATTATTTACTAAGTCATGAGGAACATTTCAAATAAATATTTTAACAAGATATCCAAAAAACAAGATGCCAGAAAACAATTCTAACTAAACATAATCCCTTCCCAAAGATTTCTCAGTGCTATAAAATGCTTAAGGGACAGAAGTTCCTTTGTAAACAGAAATGATAAGTCCCTTTTAAAAGTATAATATTCAAGGGTTTCTGAGCTTCTGTACAACATACAAAAATCAAAACAATGTATCAATATCAGTGAAGCCCGAAATCTAACAATGACATCCTTTCCCTTAACTACAATAAGCCTTGTATGTCCAAACAGAACGCTGTTATGAGATGAGCAAAAGCCAAACAGTGTGGGCTGAGTAATACCAACTCAATCTGTGTTGTTTTTCTTTGCTACAAATCGGGGCACAGGATAACGCATTTTGGTGCAAAGTTAGACACTAACCTTAAGGTTCCAGAGGTGAAATCATTACTTCCAATTCTAATTTGCTATTCAGAACCTTAACCCAGCATCCCGTTTAGCACATTCCACATGTTCCTCCTATGTCTCAACAACAGCATTTGCAAAAGCATGCTGAAAGTCCTGAAAAACTGTATCTGTATGCATGGTAGGGAGGGGTGAAGGAGGGAGTGGCAGCAACCTAGCGGATTTAAAAATGCAGAAACCTGAATTTTTGAAAATAGGCTACCTATTCAGATAATAAATAAATACATACCCCTGAGGACAGAGTTTGTCTAGCCATCCTGATTTAGCCTTCCTCACAGACGATCCATAAAAACAGGCATAAGGAGATATTGCATTTGGGGAAATAACTGATGAATCGGCATTTCCACTTGTTGAGCTTAATGGATAACTGTGCCTATTGACAGGGTCCAAATTCAATGCTTTTTGAGTCCTCGATTTAGATGCCTTTGAGTTTTTTCTTCTTAGACTCTGAAAGCATTCTTCTACCGTTGAGTATTCTGAATCTGAAGCACAGTCTGTCGGGCAACTGTTCTTGTCCTTTCGGGGTATCCAAATATCTTCCACTTTGTCTTCACTCACATTTTCCTTCCTGTTATCATATATGCTAAACGGAAAAGAATAACATAAACAATTCAAAGTGCTGGATGTTTTTTAAGCTACTGATTACTTTTTAAATTTATGAAAAAACACATCTCAGAAATTAAAGACCAGGAAAAGCTTAGAATTCGATTCATCCATCTGATGATTTTTAAAACTCTTCTGGATAAACGCCCACCTCTCACGATCCTAGGACGTACTGGAACACTACGAGATACTCTATTTTTTTCTTACATATCATTTAATCTTATCTTTATTTTGGGGGTTAGATTTAGGGGCCAAGGATGGACACTGGCTGTGCTCTTTGCATCACAACTTCAGCATCTTCACCAGCATCGTTAGGTGGACAGCCCAGGCTCGTGTCCCTGGGCAACGCTGTGAACTGCGCACTTACCTTCCTGAAGGTCTTTCTTCTAAACTTGTTGCCCCTTCTTTGACTCTCCGCTAATCAACTCCACGGACCCTCTGCTGTTCCATCACAATATACTAGAACAGGGAGTACGTCTGGCTGGTAGGAGCTTTAGTATTATTTTGTCATACTAATAAGGAAAAACCATACCCCACTGCTAGCTAGAAAACGGTAGAGGGTCAGGGTTACACTAAGAAGGTAAAAGCTGCGCAGCATGAAATATTTACTGGAACACATTCATAATGGCTAAGCATACTGTCATAAATCTAAGGAATGACAAAAGAGAGTCACTGAGTAATTTATGTATAATAAAACTCATTACAAAGAAGTTCCCCTCCACGACTAAATAAAATATATGCTTAGGGGTCAAATTACATCCTTGTAGATGCAGTGTTCTAAAAACCATTACTTCCTTAAAAAATCATTTGGCCTGGTACCTTCCACATTTTGCATTATAATAGGTCCATATCAAATGTTTGCTGAAGATAAGCAAATGAGAGTTTTAGTATGTTCCTTAAGTTTTAGTATTTTCCTTAAGTTTAGTTTCAACATAAGAAAACCTGCAACAGTGTTATTAGCCTTGGAAAATACAATATAAAATAGAAGACATAATGAATATTATGTAATGAACCAGTATACCAAGTCCTGAGAAAGCTGAGAGAAAAACAAAATGTAAGTTGGTGCCTTAGAAATTCTGTTTAACTTCATGTGTGATCCAAATAAGTGCATAATGTCAAGTCACTTGTCAAAGCTGAACTTCCAACAAAAAGGATCCTAAGTTACTTTTGTAAAACTTCTGCAGTTCACACAGTGACCTTTTCTGCACTGCCCCTTTCTCCTTCGCGTTAACATAACATCTAATCCTGAAACTGCAATCACAGTCTCCACATATTTGCCACTCTGGGGAGGGGAAAGTGGTTTCAATTAGAGAAAAATCAAAATAATCTGCTACAAAATAAAATATACTTGATTCAAACTCAAAATTCCATTATTAAAATGAGCTCTGATATCAACACATTTAAAAAGAAAATATTTGAACTTACCAATGTGAACTATTTTCTTAGAAACATGAGCAAGACAACAGTGTATAACATTTTATTCAAAAGAATTAATCATCAGTCATGACTTCATACCTTGATTTTACAAAAAAAGAATTTCTTTCAGTAGTTGCTTCCCCTTTGAGTGTTTCTTCATGGGTCCAAAATTCATTCTTTATAGACTTCTTCTATTAAGAAAATATATACACTATTTTAGAATTTCGATATTCTACAAAGATCTACCACATCTGGGTTTAGTTTTATTAAATAAATGTCTGATTAAATCAATTTTAAGTAAAAACAACTTAATTAGGGAGACTGTATTAAACAGTAGACTTTGGATGCCTTTTTAAATGTAATAACTCATCATTTCAACTAAGAAAAACAGAATATGCTAACCAAGAATAAAACTTATTTACTTTGACTTCCCCAATACTTTTTCTCTTCCAACTTCTCTTTTATCATGACCAAGAAATAAAATAGCAAAAGAGCACAAGTACTAAAGAGAAAAGACCAAGTGATAAACTGAATCATTAAGATATGTTAACTAGTTAGAAGTCTGTATTTGGACATAATGCAAAGCAATTCAGGATGTTTGTTTTGTGAGTTTTTCCTGTCTTTTTTTTTTTTTAAAGTAACTTCTCTTTCAGAAAACTTTGAAAACTCACTGACCTGTATTTCTGAAATCAAAATTAGAATGTGATTTTGTGGTATATATTTAAAGATACAAATTTACCATGATTTTACTGAACAGAATTTCTGACTGAAAATTTCATTTTTCAACATAACACATTTTTCAAACATCTAACAGGAAAATGAAGCACAAAATATAGTTGAGCAGAATAAATAATATGGAAAAAAATTAAAATGTTTGGAACAAACCTTGGAAGTTTCTAGTCCCTGGAAGAGAAAGGTCTCTCCATAAGGAAAGATGGAAGATGAATTCTCCTCATTTGAATCTTTTGGGGGAATTATAGGATGAGAATGGAAAGATGTGAATAATGTGAAAAATTTGTTTTAAAAAAGGCATGCATCTATTTTAAAGCGGTATTAGAAATTAAGCTTTATTCTCTGAGAGTCCACAACTATGCTCATAATTCTTACCCCCAAATAAACTCACCCCATGGTCTTCCTGATGCAGCACTCACTGTGTACACCCCTCACTTTACAACATGACACAGTACCATTTCTTAAAGTGTGATATCACACACACACACACACACACACACACACACACTGGAAACTGTCATGGTGCCATTTTTAATGTTAATTCCTAAATAATGGTGTTAACAGAAGAAAAATAATCGTAATTCTAATTTCCAATAAATTATTAAAAATTCATTAACATGACTAGATATTATATCACTTAAAATACGAGAATCCATTTAATATAATCCCTCTATATTCCATAGCTATTAACACATCTGTAAATAAATTATTTCAAAAGATTTTCTACCATCTTTGAATTACACCAATCTATAAGATCAAATTCTCAACATCTGCATTATGTGACATTATGGCAAAACAATTTTTAAAGATTCAGGAGCTAAGTGCTTGCCACCTTATTGTTGAGAAGAATGTTCCTGAACTTGTAGAGCAGAATTTTCAAAAAGAAAGAAAAGCCTCTGTCGATGATCAATTTACCAGAGCAATGTCAGCCCTTTCCTGTTACCATGGCAAAATTACTTTCCATAAATCTGTTCTGTTGCTCAGGCTGTCAGAAACCACTTAATTCAGTTAAATGCCTTCAACTGTGGCTAATGATAAATGAAGCCCGTACCAAAAAAACCCTTTTACATCACCATGCACAAGTTTCCAGGAGTCTGCCTGCGTAGCACTGTCTTTTATTCACTCGCCTTTAAAACTGTCTAAAGTGCTATGGACTCTAGCAGACAGTATTCCCAGTATTCCCTGTTCCCCAGTCGGGCTGCCTTCTCAACCGCGATTAAGCACATGTAAGACTATCCAATGAGTGCTAATTTATAGACTTGAAATGCTAAGACTCACTTTGCTGTGTCACAGATTTTCCAGCTGAGGTAGCGACATTTCTTCTCTCTCGGAAATAGCTGAAAGCAAAGGGAAAAATAGGTTAAAACAGATACAGAAAAATAGATGAGTCACTATCTTGAGTAATATATTAATTATAGAGACGCATTCTTTTGGGTAAAAAAACACATATTCAAAAATAAGTTTAATTTTAAATAAACAGAATGGCCATATTCCACAAATATATTTTTCTAAACAGCATAAAGGAAAAGATCTCAAAGGATTTTACAAGTGTTTGCTTCTCATATTTATAATTCACAAAAGCAAACGCCCTTCCAACACCATTATGAACGTAAAGCAATTTCCAAACCTCTATCAATACCCACCTAAGAAACAAATTTTCTAACTAGATTTCAGTATGTAGGTAGCATATTTTTATCATTAGCTCTATAATAGTGAATAAAGAGCTTTTCTGGTTCTATAAGCATAATATGAAAATACACAAATACATACACCTTTTTCTCAAAGATCTGATAGTCTTGGGAGAGAGACATTACAAGTAATTAATTAGAATACAATTCAACAGCAATGACAGAGGAAACCACTGTGGGCGCAGACGGTAATGAGTGCCTACCACTCGGTGAAGGAGCTCTATCTTGTGTTTCACCTAAATGCAAGGGTCTGGATGCTATCTTTTTAAATATGTATCTGTCCAAGTACTACAAGCAAGTAAATGAAAAAAGAACCGAAAGCCGGTTCTTGAAAAGATCGATAAAACTGATAACCCTCAGGGAAGGAAAATAAGAGAGAGACAAAAGACCAATAAATTACCAATATCTGGAGTGAAAGAGGGGATATCGCTACAAATCCTACACACAGGAAAGGGGTAATTACAGATTACTAAGAAAAACTTTATGCCAGTAAGTTTAATGACAGATAAAATGGAAAAATTCTTTAAAAGATACAAATTACCAAATATGACACAAAAATAAAAAGAAAATCTTGACATCCCTGCATCTACTAGAAAAATTGACTTTAGTAATTAATCACTTATCCACCAAAATAAAAAAACCCTATACCCAGATATTTCACTGCTGATTTCCACCAAACATATAAAAGAAAATGATACTAATTCTTATTTACAACTTACCATTTTACAATGATCAACTTATTTCAGGAAACGGGAAGAGGAGGCACATCCCAACTCATTCTTAAGCCCACTATTACTGATAATAAAACCAGTAGAAAACAAAACTCCAGATAAATGTTAGCTAAATAGCCCTCAATAATATGAATGCAAAAATCATTAACAAAATACTAGCAAATTAAATTCAACAATATATAATAAAGATAATATATTATGACCAAGTAAGAATTATCACAGGAAAGCATGAAAGATGTATAAAAATCGCCTTGGCCAGTGTGGCTCAGTTGGTAGGAGCAAAGCAAAAGGTGCCTGGCTTGATTCCCGGGTAAGGACACATGCCTGGGTTGCAGGTTCAGTCCTCGGACAGGGCACATGCAGAAGGCAGATATACAGAGAAAATACAGAGACAATCGCTGTTTTTCTCCCTCTCCTATTCCCACCCTTCCCCTCTCTCTAAAATACAAAATAAAATTTTTAAAAAGATGTACAAAAATCACTAAACTGGGGAGGATAAGAAAGATACCTGTTCCTCTCTGCCTTGTGCACTAAGGAGGGTCTTCCTGGCAGGATCACAGGACACATCTTGGACTCCTAGGGAAATGGCAGCGAGTTGGGTTTGCTTTCTGCTTGAAGATTTCCCTGGGACTAGGGAGACCTCCAGATGAAAGGGATAAGGAAGGACTGGCTCTGCAGCCTAGCTCTAATCTCCCAGGATTCACTCCCCAGCACAGTCCCACCCACACCAGCTGTCCAGAGAAAAGGAGTAGGAATGCATTGGAGAAGCCCAAGGCAAGAGCAAAAGTAATCCTTTTGGCTGGAGAGTCAATTGTGTCAGACAAAGGGGTGGGAAACAAAAGGGCTTCACCTCAAGAAGGCATATCTGGCATCACATTCCTTTTACCAACTATATGAAACGTTTCATTAGTAAAGAAATTATGGTAAAAGCACTGGCCACAAAGAAATACTTTTACAAGGTACATGTAGGAATGTATTAAGTATCATTTAGATTTTATTTGATTAGAGAGAATCTCAGAGAGCATAATTCACAATTTTACTGTAAATGACATATAACACCTTTGAAACTTGCAATTACTATTTGCAATTCTGGTGAGGACCACAAGTAAAAATAGACTGTAAGTATGAAGATAAATCACTTTCTCATTTTACGATCTAAGCACTACGAATGCATGGCTACCATCTTCTACCGTAATCAAGGAAGAAATGCTACAATGGGTAATCTGGCTAGGATGCAGGCATTAAGTTATTTGCTACTAATTTTAATGTTATTTCAATTCTCATTTTCAAGGCCTCACAGTCACAATGGAATATCAAGCCTTTCAGTTTATGAAAAATAGCACATCTTATTTACAACTTCAGCCAAAAGTTTCTTACCTGAAGTCATGCTATGGCTCCCAGAAGGATTCTGTTCTGACAAAGATGTAATTTTAATGTGTACTCACACATCAGACCCCTCTCAGTTCACTTACTTTTAACTGTTTAAAATTAGCAAAATATTTTAAAGCTAAGGGGTCATTCAAAAGTGTGATCTTCTAACATTCCTGAGAAATATTCTAATTCTTACACTGGCATACCTCATTTTACTGCACTTAAGCTTTTTCTGCTTCTCAGATGTTGCATTGTTTACAAATTGAAGGCAAGAACCTCCACCAGGAAAAAGAATTTGACTCACTTTACAGTGGTGCTCTGGAACTGAACCTGCAATTTTTCCTGAGGTAGGCCTCTATACACAATCAACATTAAGAATATTTACTAAATGAGTGGTTTAGAAAGCAGGTTGTGGAGTCAGACATACTGGAATAAAACCCAGGTCACTATTCTTAGGATCCTAGGAAAATGAACCCAAGACTCAGTTACCTTGTAAGAAAACGGATGATATCACCTACTTCTCAGAGCCATTGTGAGAATTAGATGACTCATGGAAAGTTATAAACCAAACCAGCACATACATGTTTAATAAATTACACTACTGCTATTCACTTCCTAATAAATACTAGGCTCTGCTATTGGCACTAGGGATGCCAGGGGAGGCAAATAAATGAGAGCCTCTGCCCTCAAAGAGCAGCTTCTCTAATAGGAAGTACTGAAATTAACATGATCTTGTAAATTGCCTGTTTCCTCTTGCAAATATTAAACTTCCATGTTTTCTCTTGCAAATACAACCAGGGTTTCACACTGTAATTACCAAAGTTGCCTAAAATCAAGAAAACAGAGCAGTCGGGGGAGGGGGGAGGGGAGTCTTGCAGGAATGCCAGCCTCCAGCCATTGCAAGAAATCTGCAACAGCTTTTAGCACCCAGCAGTTACAGCCAAACTTGAACAGTCTCATGCCTCCCAGCAGAAAGATAAGTGTTAGTTTTTAGTGAAAAAGTATTTCACCTCAACCCTAAGAAAAACCACAATTATTTTAGATGTAACTTTTTGATACAGATAAAAGTTCTCTCTGCAGGAACCGGCCCCTCTTGGGTTCCACAGTACCTCACGCTGCGATCACCTGACACTCTGGTAGGGCCCCTCCTTAGACTAGAGTTCCCATCTCTAGTGGGCCTGGTTTCATACTGTACTGTTACCATCATTTTATTGGACTTCTGTCTCCTGTGCCATATTTCAAGCCCCTTTATTCCTCTCTGAAAAAATACACAACAAATTCCAAATGGAGTCACTGATACTAAGCCCCACGATACCTAACTCAACTGCAGTTTCAGCCTCTCCCTGGAATGTAACCTTTATCCAGTCAATACAGAATTATGTGGTCAACACTAGTCTGGTAATCTGTAGGAAAGCCCCCTGACTTCATTCCCCAAGGAGAATGACCTGGCTTGAAACAATCCACTCTTTGCTAAAACAGCTTCTTTGCTCCACTTCCATCTGCCTATAAAAGTCTCCTATTGTGTACAACTTCCCAGAGCTCTATTTGCTAAATGGGATGCTGCCCGATTCATCAATCACTGAACAAAGATCATTAAGATCTTCAAATTCTCTTGGCTGAATTTTGTTTTTTTAATACTACCTCCTTCACACCTAGCAGAGTAACCAGTAGTACCATGTAGGTACTCACTAGATGTCTGCTGAAGTATTAATTCATGCCAAGTACTGTGCCCAGCAGGAGAAATACGAATGTTAAAAACATGGCCCCTGCCAAGGAACAAATAATTTAGTGGGGGGACAGTCAGCAATTCAAATGTTAGATCGGCACTCACAGAAAAATGTAGCGTAACACCAGGTGTGGAGGGAAAGTGTAGGAAGGAATATCCAGATAGAATAAAGAGAAAGGATGTCCCCCCAATTAAATGGGCAAAATCTAAAGAGTTCCAGGCAGTTATAACATGGAAAGAGACTCCAGGAAATAGTTTTCAACAAAAATGGGATGACAAAAAAAAAAAATGGTTTTATTTCCCTTTTTTCCTAATATATTTTTTTAATTTGTTGGTGTTCAGTTACAGTTGTCCCACCTCTTCCCCCACTGCTCACCCCTCCCCCGCTCCCACACCCCCAGTCAATCCCCCCGCCCCCCCCCGTCTGTGCCCATGAGTCCTCTCTTTATGTTCCTTGACTTGCCCTTTCTCCCCTTCTTCCCCCACTTCCTCCCATTATCTCTCTCCCCAATCCCTCTGGTCTCTGTCAGTTTGTTCTTTATTTCCAAGACTCTGGTTGTATTTTGCTCATTTGGACAAAAAAAGTTTTAAAACCAAAGAAAATGTTAATTGAATAGGTAAATTAATAGAAGTTACATTTAGGGGGGAAAAGCACCAAAAATATAATTGTTTAAAATAACTAAATTTCCCGAAATTGAATACTTAAAACTTATCATAAGAGTTCTTACCTCCCTGAAACTCCTTTTGTCGACCCTGGAATCTCTGGTACAGGCCGATGTCTCAGCAGAAAAGATCGAGATGGCCTTGAAACCAACTTGCTACGACTTCTCATAGGTGGTAGGAATGGTGATGATGGAACATACAAATCATTTACAACCATTTCTCCTTGAAATTTAAAGAAAGGGGATGGTGGTGAACTTTCTAATAAACCATTAGCTCCATTTCCAGAATTAGTTTCTGATATTGAATAGCCATGGGAAGAAAGGCATTCAGCTTCTCCATGAGGAAGTTTGCTCACAGTTTCTGAGATCAAATCAACATCTTCTGCCTGTTCTCCTTCAGCTGTACAATCCACAGTCTTCTTTGTAATCAAAGATTCTGTTTTACTATTTTCGCGACCAAATAAAGAATCTTGAAAAGAATCTAAATTCAGGTGCGGTTCTTCTTCTGGAATGGGAAAGTTGTGTTCAGGAAGAGACAGCTTACCATCTGATTCGAGAGACTGGCTATTTTCCACACTAATGTCATTTTGATCAAGATTGTTTGTAACCACCTCCAACTTTGTTGGACCACGTGTCTGAACAGTACATGAATCTAAAGGTTCTATGCGGGTATCCTTATCAGAAGATGGAGCACGGTGATCCTTTAAAGTCTCATCACACTTCTTTGTCTTATGAATATTTGCATATATTGGGATATCTTGCATCTTTGACAAGATTATCTGTAACTGTTTGATTATCCTCCTCCGGTGTCCGGTAGGTGATATTCCAATTTTGTGTAGCACGCTGTCATTTATTGTTGCACAGTCCTTCACAGTATTAAAACCAAACTCACGGAAGTGGGAGAGATACTGCTCCAAATTGATGCTCATAAGGAAATCTTTGATATCAAAATTTACTTCACTGACTAAGGACATAATGGTGGCTTCATTACTAAGCTGATTTTCAAAAAGCAGTACAATAAGATACACACACAGGAGGGTGAACTTCAGTGTCTCAAAATGTTATTTTCTCCATAGTGAATGCTTTACATGCTTAAGCCTAGAGAAAAAAATGAATTTATTAGGACATTTTAGTTATTAAAACATAGTTTTACATTATAAACTTTCTCTGAAGAAACACAACAGAAATAAGGATAATGACTTTCACCTACTAAGAGTTTGGAATTCTTGTGCATTACTTTGATGCCCTGGAAAGTCAATTCCTAGGTAAAGTATGAAGGGACAGGACAGAAATGTTATGGTTGTTATCAAGGTAAAAAAATGAATCCCACATGAATATAATGTGAGTATGTGTCAAAAATATTATTGGACTCATTAATGAAGGAACCAGAATGACGGTAAGGTTAGTTCCTAGAGCATTTGTAGAACAGGCTTATAAAGTCCACCAGAAAAGTCCATCAGAAAAGGCTCTGTGTGTGTGTGTGTGTGTGTATGAATAAGACTGATAGGTTAGTTTTAAAAAAAAACAAACTGGTTATATCCTACAGGGCATAAAATCATAGACTTTAGAGCTGCCTTTCTACTGGAGAAAAATCTATAAGCAAATGGGTAACTTCTCAGTTCTGAGCTTTAACCAAATAGTAAACAGAAAGTGGAGCACAAGAATTAGAATTAAAATCCCAAGGGTGGGTCTATTAACAGTAAACCCAATAAGGCATTGTAAGAACATGTTGTACGTTCTTTTGATTATGAAGTTTTAGATAACTTTTCTTAACACCAACTAGATATGAACAGCTTTCCCCTTTACTACACTTTCTTTAAAGACTCTCTTAAAAAGTGCCATTAGAACATATTCTCAGGTCAGTAACTTTCATTTCAAAAAAGCATCAGCATTATGTGTATATTACTGACATGAAAGATAAGACTAGTTGAATAATTAATTAATTCTTAAATACATTATATAACAGGAAATAAGGTAATATGAAAGTAAAACAAAAATGTTTAAAGGTCATATTTTCCTTTATACACAGCAGATTCGCATAGGTCCATTTTCCTCTCCCCAAAAATCAATACATTTTTTAAAAAGTCGATTTATCTAGGTTCTGTTTTTATAACTGTGTTTCATTTGTGAAAATGTATACATGCAAATTTCTGAATATTATGCTTCAGTAAAAAGACTGAAGTACAGAAAATGCATAACACTCCTATACTGAAGAAATAAAATGAAACACACCCAAACAAGGTAAATTTATCTGAACAAGTGCTGATGCAACGTTTCTGGAAATCGTATCTCAAACTCAGACGCTGCATGTCTTACATGCCAATAACCCAGAAACGACGGCCTCAACTGTTTAAAATATTAGCAAAGACTGATAAGCAGGGATAGAATAAGAGGGAAAGCACGCATCATATTCAGACAGCACCGCAGGAGCAGAGAAATAAAAATACAAACAAGATGAAAGGCAGGAAATGCCTCTCTGTAAGGTTTCCCTCAGTCACACCCAAAACGACAATATGTCAGGGGAAAAAAGTAGAAAGTTAAACCTCAACAGTACACATCAACCTAGGTCTCGGATATACCACTCTTATTATACATGTTTATTTTGTAGATAAACACACTACCTAATTTTTTGGCACATCACAAAATGGGAATAATTACTGCCAAATTAACTGGCACCTTGATCTTGGGCTTTCCAGCCTCCTGAACTGTGAGAAAATGTATGTCTGCAGTATTTTGTTGTAGCAGCCCAAACTAACTAATACACTCCTCCGGCCTCACTGCTTTGTCCCAGGTCAGACCTTCATTATAATCTCTTGCCTGGACTGCAGCTAACACTGTGAACAAATCCCTCAGCCAGTCTCCCTGTATCAGTGAATTACTGAAATTCCAAATTTGGCATTTCACACCACATCCTCAAAAGGATAAAGTCCAAGCTTCTTATGGTCTAACAATAACAACAGCTACTACTGATTGTAAACAACAATTATGTGCCAGACACCATACCTCATACGTATTTCCTGGAACGTAGGTGTTCCTATATACTAACTCCAGCTCAAGCTCAACCTGCGTCATTCTACACACATCCTGCACTCACTTTAACTATTACTTATTGTTCCCAAGACAATCAACTGTTTAACAGCCCCGTATCTTTTGTATATGCTATATCTGCTTGCAGATCTACACATTTTGCAAAATCCTATGCACTAAAGTTTTAAATAGGCAGGTACTACCTTCTTTAGGAAGGCTTCTTTTGACCTTAAATAGAGTCACTCCTTTTTCAATATGTAACTAGGATCCTTGAAACTTGACAAGTGCTTGTGACATGTTTGAGAGGTAGGAGACAGATTGGTAGGGATGGTAGGATTGGTTGAGAGGCCCACTTCGTTAGTTTTTGGTGTGCAAACGTGTTTTCACACATTAAGCCCTTTCCCTCCCTTGAGGTATATACATATACCTCCTTGGTGGCTGACTCGGGGATGGATACACCAAATGCTCTACCCAAAGCTCGCTCTCTCACGATGAGTCAACAGGCTGACTATGGCTAGAGAACCTGATTCCTACTCTGGACTCACGATCCTCGGTGTACTTTAGTATCAGCTCCGTCTTCCAATCACCTGACTTTTTACCTGTCTTACCACCAAAAGGTGTTCACAGATCCACCTCTTTCTTTAGTGGCTTCTAGCCCATATGCACATCATCAGAGGCAAAGAGATGGATGTGCCCAACTAGGCAAGTCTCCTATATTCACACTCCTTAATATGAAATTGAAGCCCTCCATGTGCTCTAGGTCGGTGGCTCCCTGGGCGCTGGTCTGTGGGTCTGCTGCACAGCGGCAAGAGCTGGTACCAGGCCCAGGAACCTGTATCTGCAACACATACCAAAGATGATTGGGATGTGCAACAAAATTTAGTAATTGCAGTTTTAAATTCCTCACGCTCCCCAGCATGCTCTATACCATCTCACCTGAGCCTACGCTCATTGCTTTCCTACCCTAGGATGGAATGTCCCTCCTAACACACTGCCCACAGTCTGGAGTCACACTCACAGCCTACCTCCCCCGCTTTCTGGCAGTGTAAATACAGCTTCCTTAACCGCAAGATGGAAGCACTCAAAGGTACCTCTGCACTGGTAAAGATGAAATAAGATAATCCATCTGTAAGTGTTAAAATAGCGTTTAGTATATGGTAAGCGCTTAGCACACATTCACTCCCATCATTACAACTTTTTCTTTTCATCGGTACAGTCATCATCTTCCCACAGCTGAAATCTTTCCCATTCTCTGAAGTCTAACTCAAACGCTATTTCCTTCCCAAGGTTTCCACTGTACAAGAAATCAACTCTCCTTTCTATGTCCACAGCATTTACTTCTTAGAGCATTAAGTTACATTTTATTCATTCAACAGTAACCTACAGAAATAGGATAATACAGTGCAGAAGCCAAGATTTTGGAGCTGGACAACATGGGTCAAATCCAAATTCCTCCATTTACTCCTTTCGTGAACTTGGACAAGTATTTAGCCTCGCTCTGCTCAGTTTCCTCATAGGAAAGTGAGAGCATTAATAGTACCTACCTCATAGGGCTGTTGTAAAGAATTGAGAACACCAACTACACACGACAAATGCTAAATATTAACTGTTTGCCACTGTAATTATTTTTTGTTATCCCATTATAAACTAACTCTGCCAAGATGATGACCAGCCCATATAAACTGCCCAATAAATTCCAGTCAAATTATTTGTTTATAACTTAGCGCACGATGTACATGTAGTACATGTTTAGAGAATGTATGAGTAGTTGGCATGACAGACGTGGTTATGTATCTGCCCATGATATCCTGATCCATTTCCAAGAGGAGGAAGTACTAAGAGGGAAGTAGCATTTAGGAGCACCTGCTACATGCCTGGCTTGCAACATGACTTAATAAACCTGATCTTATTATCTTACTGACCTCTGCCTTGGAACCAAATCCTGAACCAACTACTTCTCAACACCTGCCCTGGTCACATCCCATTCCAAGCCATTATCTTATCTATTTTAGACCATGACAATAGCCTCCTAGCTGAAAGTCCTGATTCTGTCCTGGTCTCCTACCCTCCCACCCCCACAGTACAGTCTCAACGTAGCAGCCAGAAGATATAGGAAGGTCTGTCCAGAAAGTATCCATCCACATAATGCTTAAATAGAGACATTTCCTGAAGAAAATACAAGAATCATTGTGCATAGGACAATGACACCTTGGTACCCTTAAAAGTAGGCACCTTGGAACTTCACACAGTTCCCCAATTGCCATCAGCTGCCCTGTGGTATTTTCCTGAACCTTACCTATGGTCTGAAATCTCTTCCTTTTCAAAGGTGATTTTAGTTTTGGGAAAAGCCAGGAGTTGCAGGGCATCAAATCTGGGCTGTAGGGGTGCTGAGTCACCTGGGTGATTTGATGTTTTCCCAAAAAACTCTGCACAAGATGTGATGCATGAGCGGGCACATTGTTGTGATGAAGCTGCCCATCACCAGTTGCCCAGAGCTGCAGCCTTCTGAATCACCCAAATAGTTCCAGAGCAGGAATGTTCGAGTTTAATGCGAAATCTGATGCAGATTCATTGTTCTACTTGCTCAGCCATTTTCAGTGTGACAGCCACACAGTACACATGCTCACTCAAGGGCGTCTACCACCCCCACTGACAAGCCGTCGTTGTTCATGCATGCACAGTCCAGTCCAGTTGCCTTGACTGGCAGGTTACATGGATGTCACGCAAACTGTTCTCGTTATATCCACAATGGTTGGACTTTTTCCGAACAGACCTCATATTTTATAACAAAAGTCACTCCCTAAGGCTTCCCAACTTTCCCTGGCCTTCCCCCTCCATCACTCAAGTGCCATCAGGTTAGCCTCAATCACACTCCTACCATATGACCTTAACTCTAGCCCTTCCTTCCATCTCTTTCAAATCTGCTTCCCCAACATATACCCACAACTCAGGGCTCATCCATCATCTTATTAGCTCTCTGCTCAAATGGGAAATGCTTAAAGGGTTAGAGAGACCTTCCATAATCCCCCTGTGCTTATAAGCATGCCCTGTGCCTCA